TATGTAAACATTACAGTACCTTAACTATAATAGTCATGTCTCCTAGGCCGTTAGGCTTACACGATTTAACAATGCCTGTGACCAATGAAGTTTTATTACTATGCTTAATACTGCTTAAACTTGTTCCGTGGATGTTATCATGTTCATGTAACAATCCTGTAAATAAATCAAATCCGTCAATATATTAAAGTGCATCCTTTAAGTGGAAGGATAAAGTTCAAAAATTTCGCCATGAACTTTTATGAATAGAAGAGCCCATTACCATGGATTGCTATTAAAATCAACATCATCACTCTCTTGAGCTATACGCCGTACAAATTCTTGACTAGGTATGCAGTCATCAGAAATGCGGTTATTCATAATAGCTTGAACGGAGGCAGCAGGACCTGGAATTATGGATGAATTGGAGTTGCAAGCACGCATAAATGCAAGAAGGTCTGTGGTGTCAATGTCCAGTCCTTCCCAAGGTTCCATTGATAAATGACTTCAACAAAATTTTTTCAGATTTAACCACAACTACATAAAACACAATTAAGGGAAACACCACCCGTCCCACCTTGCAATAAAAAATCCCTAATTGTCCAGAAAAAAAATGATAACACAATATTGGGTCAACACATTTTTTAGCACATATACATAAATATCTTTGACATACCTATTCCTTTTTCTTTTAGTCGTCTTCGTTGTAGATCTGACGATTTGGTCTGAGGAGGAATTTATTTTGGCTTGTGCAGCTTCACGTGTATGTCTTACAAATAAGATGATGCACATGTAATAAATGGTTCATTTACAAAAATACCCTTATTCAAGTTTTAAAATTTCCATTAATATGAGTCGGTCCAAGACTTATCCCTACAAGGTAAAAGCATAACCCACCCTTTCTTTTACATTAGCAGACCTACACTGAACCATTTTTTGGTGGATTATCGGCACGACGATTGAACAAAAATAGGTACTTCCTTACTTTTGCATTGTTTTTTGGGTAGAACTCACATGATATTGGTTGGTGGATTAAGTTATGTTTTAACACAACATTTACTGTTTTCATCTCCAAGTTCCGAGCTTATATACCTTTGTATTATATTGTTGGCAATGGTAGGAATTGTATCCTTCATCGTTTATCTACCATGGGAGATATAAATGAAAATAGAGATGTACCTGTCAATGAAGGCATTTTGGCCGTGTACGATGATATAGGTAGTGATGCGGATGTAACAAGTCTACAAAAATGTAATGGTCCTCTCAAAGGTGTAGACCAAGAAATGATAGGTGTACATGATAACATACCCAGTAATGCAAATGTCACAAGTTTACATGAAGAAGTGTTGGTTGGCCATGATGAAGGATCTCCTGACGCAGATGTCAGGACTACAACACAATACGACGGTTCTGTTCCATGTGTAGGAATGTCCTTTGAAACTACAGATGCAGTTAAGTCATTTTATCGACAATATGCCATACAAAAAGGTTTTGACATCAAAACAAGGAGTTCAAAGAAGGGGCCCGATAACCAATTGCGGTACTTCATGTTACTGTGTACAAGGGCATGTAAGTATGTTTCTGCTACACCTACTGAAATTAGAACCCAACCCACCAAAACAAATTCATGTCCTGCACGGATAACAATTGGATTAAAGGAAGGACTATGGTATATTATGTCGATAAATGATGAACATTCACATTCTCTTAGCCCAAAGAAATCAAGAATGTTTCGTAGCAATAGGAACATTAGTTTGTATGTGAAGAGGACTCTAGACATAAATGATGATGCAGGTGTGAGGATCAATAAAAGCTTTTGGTCATTTGTTAGTAGTGCAGGAGGTTATGAAAACCTCCAATTTGTTGAACGAGATGTACGCAACTATGTGAATAAACAAAGATGTGCACTAGGAAAAGAAGGTGATGGAAAAGCTCTATTAAATTATTTTTCACAAATGAGGGACTTAAACAAGGATTTCTATTTTGATATAGACTTGGATGATGATAATCATGTGAAAAATGTTTTCTGGGCTGACGCTAGAAGTAGGGCGGCTTGTGAATACTTTGGCGATGTTGTTTCATTTGATACAACATACTTGACCAATAAATATGACATGTCGTTCGCACCATTTGTGGGTGTAAATCATCATGGACACTCCATATCGTTAGGGTGTGGGTTGTTATCAACTGAAGACACCACTTCTTTTATTTGGTTATTTGAATCATGGTTACGTTGCATGTCATTCAAGGCCCTACGGGTATTATCACTGACCAGTGCAAGGCAATGCAAAATGCCATTCACATAGTTTTTCCTGAAGCCCGTCATAGGTGGTGTCTATGGCATATAATGAAAAAAATTCCAGAAAAGTTGAAAGGTTATACAGAATATAAAAATATTAAGTATGCTATGAAGGAGGTTGTTTACGAGTCTTCCGCTGTATCTGAATTCACCTCCAAATGGGCTAACTTCATATCCAATTTTGGATTAGAAGACAATGAGTGGTTGAATAGCCTTTTTCAAGAGAAACAGAGATGGGTTCCATGCTTTTTAAAAAACCAATTTTGGGCTGGGATGTCAACTACACAACGAAGTGAAAGTATGAATGCATTTTTTGATGGATATATCAACTCAATGACATCCCTCCAACAATTTGTCAAGCAGTATGAAAATGCCTTACAAGACAAGGCTGAGAAGGAATATGAAGCTGATTTTTCATCCATGCATACAATTATTAATTATGGATCACAGTCTATGATAGAGAGGCAATTTTAGTCGGAGTACACGCATTCAAAATTTGTAGAGGTTCAAGCTGAATTTAGAGGAAAAATGAACTGCAGTGTTGTGCATGTCTCTTGCCTTGGATCTGCTTGGTTTTATGACGTTATGGAGGAATCTATTTGCAGTGAAGATTGTAAAGAACACCTGTACAGTGTAAGTTTCAACCGTGATGACCAAAATGTCAGTTGCACATGCTTGCTATTTGAATTCAAAGGTATTCTTTGCCGACATTGTTTGGTCGTCCTTGCTCAACAAAGGGTTAAAAATATTCCCTGCAAATACATTTTAAGTAGATGGAGTAAAAATGTGAGAAGGAAACATACTTATATGAAAACCACCTACAATGTAAAGGAGAAGCAGCCGCAAATTGAAAGATACGATGATTTGTGCAAAAGATTTTATGAGATTGCTGATGTTGCATCAAAGTCAATTGAGCAGACGGACATGTTGTATGAAATGATGAATAAATTTGCTCCAACACATACATTTCAACGTTCTCAAACTGAAATAGATACCAATATCTGCAAAAGCAATACACCTGCAGATTCACAAAGGTTATATGTTGACAACGCTGACATTGACATTCATAGCCCGTTGCATGTTAAAAGGAAAGGAAGACCACGTTCACTTCGAAAGGTGTCAACAAGTGAAAAAATTGCAACGCGAAGGTTGAAAAATAAAGTACAACACACTTGCACCACAAATACTGTAAGTATTATATCCACAATTGTCATGTTATTTTGTATTGGATGATTTCATAAGTTCATTAATATGTTATCTTCGCCATTACAGGGGAACACTGAAGGAACTTCGTCCGACTTATTAAACTCAACCCTTCACATAGAAACTCATGTTGATTATCGGTCATCTGGATTGGTTTGTGTCAAAAATGAAATTTATTTAATGTTATAGTGATTGTTCAATTGAATTTGCTTTATTTAAAGTGTGATCTGCAATTCATTTGAATTTCTTTGTGGGACTGATATACTGTTTATGCAGTATATGTTATGTAAAATGGCAGTAAAGTCATATGTCAAAACTCATGTAATTGTTGCCCTTTGCAGCCATCAACATTGGGTACCACTGGTTTTGTGTCGTTGTTGACATCACTTGACAGTATTGTTGACGACACACAATTTTCTTCCTCAACAAAATGGTTTGGGAACATTGTTTTTTTTAATGAAATACTCTGTCAACAATGAATATTACATTAGTTTTCAATTGCATTACGTTGATGTATACTAATAATTTCTTGTTCAACTTGCAGGACATAAGTGTTAAGATCTACTACATAGAATTTTGCAGTGTTATTTAGACCACAACTAACTTAGTGACGTTTCAATGACTTTCAACTGCACATGTTAACAATATAACAATGTTGATTGACGAGTGCTTCTTTTGATTCAATGTCTTGTTGGCTGGATAATGTCATCTTACATGTTCAGCAGAAGTATATATGATAGGACATAAACGTGCAACAGTAGTGTAGACTATACATTCTGATTTTGTTAGAGTTGTGAATGTAAATATAACAATATAACAACAAATGTAATTTCTTCAATGCATTTATCAGCAGTTGATGGTCCATATATTTACGTAACAATCATCGGTTGTATATTACGTCAAATGAAAGTCATGTACTAAAAATCACACTGCATGATAACAACAAACTACCTTCAAAATATGCGAACCTAATTATAGTGATTGCAAGATATAACAAACCAATAATATTAAAATAGTACAATCTAAATTTACAATCTAAAATAGTACAATCTAAATTTAGATTTCCTACAATCTAAATTTACAAGTCATTCAATGTTACAATCCTTCAACTTCATGTTAACAAATTGTTGCACCAGTTTGTTGTACACATCACACTATATAATTGCATCATGTCTTTCCTTTCTGGTGGCGAGAAGCTCCATTTGAAGAGCTTGACACTGCACCAACAGGGTTGACATATGACCTGATGAAGAACATGACCTCTTACCTTTGTCCTCAGCCTGGCACCGAGAAAAGAAAAATAGTGTCAAAGAGACTGACGATTATAATGAAACAACACTATAATGCTAGTTAAAATACAATTGGACAAACATTAGTAATGGACCAAATATTAGTAATGTAAACAAACACATAAAATCAATAATTATATCAAGTAATGATACTTACTGATATGATTTGTTGTGTCATTTATCATGCCAATTGTCCACCAATATTTTTATCAATATTAGACCCAAGATACATGTGTATGATTAATAGGTATTTGCCCAAATGGATGTTGCTCTACATACTTAGGAACATTTTCAACATTTGACAATCCATCTAGATATTCCCGCAGATCACCTCCAATAGCTAGTGAATTATCATTTTTATTGCGAGGATCAAATGTAAATGGAAAGACCGAGTTGTGCGGAGGATTAAGTAATGCTTTGTAAGGAGAATCATCCAACAGTAATGTGTTGGATTCATTGTAGTATTCTTTCTCCCATGGAAGATTAGGATCACCACGCTCCCAAATTTTCCTCAAATCCTTAAAAACCAGTGGCTTTTTTTCATTTTCTAGGGTCATGAAATGAGTGGTAGTACAATAGGAACCATCCCAGCAAAAAAACAACTTGTTCTTCATATTTGGCATCAAATATTCAATCACCTCAGTATTTTTCTGGTTTCTTGAGGTCCATATACCGACTTCAAAGTGCACGAAGCAGAACTTTAGAAACTCACCATAAAAAGGCCTCTTGAATATTGCTTGACGTCGAATGAAATTATCTGGCTTGAGATTCTTTGGTGGGGACTGAGTTATACAAGCAAGCAAGCCATTTACATCAAGAACAAGAAGCTTTTTCTTCAAATGTCTTGGGATGGAGGGGGCCAAACCTTACCTGGTAAATTAGTTGGCTGGCTCTGAGGTGCAACTAGCAACTTATAAATCTCGCCAATCTCGTCTGTGGGTCAACACTCGCTCAAGCAAGGAAGCCATCACTTGAGCGACGGAACCTTAAAACAATGGGGATTCTCGGGTTCTGTCTCGCTCAAGCGACATCGATATAGCTTGAGCGACAAGTGATTCTTATATGTGGTGAACCAAGTTATATTATGTGGCTAACTGCGTTGGACGTTTCGTTTGTGGGTCAACACTCGCTCAAGCGAGGAATCCATCGCTTGAGCGACGAAACCTTAAAACAATGGGGACTCTCGGGTTCTGTCTCGCTCAAGCGACATTATTATCGCTCGAGCGAGAAGTGATTCAAATATGTGGTGACCCATGTCATATTATATGGCTACCCAAGTTATTTTTTGTGACTAAATGCGTTGGACGTTTCGTCTGTGCCCAACACTTGCTCAAGCGAGAAAGCCATCGCTTGAGTGAGGAAACCTTACAAAAAATAGGGGCTCTCGGGTTGTATCTCGCACAAGAGATGTTAATGTCGCTCGAGCGGCAAGTGATTCAAATATGTGGTTATCCATGTTACAGTATGTGGCTAACTGCGTTGGACGTTTCGTCTGTGGTCAACACTAGCACAAGCCAGAATTCCATTGCTTGAGCGAGCAGACCTGCACAAAATGGGGATTCTCGGATTGTGTCTCGCTCAAGAGACAAGTGTTGGACCAATATACCAGGCCTGATGAAGTACACCAAATAATGAATGTTGGACCAAGGCTGAAGTTGAAAGAGACGTGACATGCAAATTTCAATCTGTTTTTTGTCAAGCACATTCTTTACAACTTCTATTAAGCATGAAGTTATCTGTTATGTACAAAGATGATACGTAATCCTATACATCTTTCCTACAATAAATCTTATCACTTGTACAATGATCGAAGCCGTATTCGGTCAAATAAATGTGATTAAATGTAGTACTAGGCAATAGACTCCTAGGTCGTCTCCCAAGGACTATAAATTTATGTCAAAAGCTTATCAGTTTCGAAATGGAACAAAAGAAAAGGGGAATTTTGGTATTTATCAGATTAATGAAAGAGAACAACAATAGCATGTATAAATGCGGATTAAAATAGATTAGGCCCTTAATAGAATGCATCTCTGCTGTCATTGGTTCATAATATAAAATCTATCTACCTTACTCCCTCCTTACACAAATTAAGCAAACATGTAAGTGATTGATTCTCCCCACAAGATTAAGCAACTCATGGTACTGGATACAATGAACCCAAATTCATTAAGCATGATTTACATTTTATGATCCAGTGCAGAACAAGGAACTAAACTAGACATTAAGTTAAGTGCAGAGAACCTCTAAACAGAGATTGCAATCCTTCAAGGACCTAACCCTCTAGGTTTAGCTATCTATTAATTCAGAAATGTAGCAGAAAACATAAAAACAAAATCCAGTGCAGAGAAGAAGAACAAAATGTAAATTACCAAATGATGAATGTTTTCGTGAATCTAATCCCCAAAGAGAATAAAAGGAATCTCAGAAAATGTGGTGGTTGTCCATTAACACGAAATTACAATTGAAATACAAGATGGAACAACAAAATAGCAAAATGGATTGCAGCAGAAATTTAAATACATGATTCGCCTGAACTAAACTACACAATGAAATTTGAAACAGAAGTGAAAGAATGCAAACTCTCATGGCAGCAGAAAACGAAATTGAACCATATTAATACATCAATGAGCCTTGAGCAGTCCAAATTAAAATGCAGAGAAAACCAGCATGAAACCAAAACGTGAAACAGAACTCCAGTGGTTGCTTGGTCTTCTCCTCCTGCTGCTCCTCTAAAAATACTAGCCTACCCTAACCCTAGAGTCCCCTAGGAATGGGCCCAAGCTGGCCCACACGGGATTACACATCAAGCAAACCCTAGTTGACGTGGCAATCATTAATATGACGTGGAAATAGTAGCTGACATGGCAGGTGACGTGGTAGTGACGTGGCAGGTGACGTGGTAGGTGACGTGGCAGGTGATGTGGCAACTAATGTGGCAATGATGTGGAAACCCTCTTCATCTCAATATTAATGTCCATGCTCCAAAATTGTTTCACCAAAAATACCTAAAAATAATTAGAAACGAAAATTAGACCAATTAATGCTAAATTAAGCAAAATTTGGAATAATGGCCCAATGAAGCCCAATCAATGAAAATGCACTAATAATAGACAATTAAACACAATGCACCAATTAAGATAAGTACATAAAGATAAGAAAATGCGGGGAAATAATGTCTCATCATACAATTTCCATATGCTAGTTTATATTGTTCTCTTCCCTTGTTCTTTTAATCTGAATTTCTTTTATATTACATATCAACATCTTGTCATCAGAAATTCAAATCGAAATTAATGAGCATTTTTTTTTCTGGAACTAAGTTATACTTGGCCGATTGTTGATGTTACTATGATGTTTACTTGAGCAGTGAAAGAGTGGGTGGTGGCCACGCTCCATATATCATCAAAGTATGTGGTATGAAGAATGTTCTACCCTTATCAACCAATCCAACATGCCCTTTATCAGTTAATACTATAGAGGAGCATCTTCATCTTCATATGTTGGTAACATATAAATCTGGTAGTAATTACGTGTATTTTGTACAACTGTGGTTCTCAATATAGACTCTCTGTTACATGTAGATGGTCTGCATCATCTGAATAGGGATATTGTGCAACTGGAAGGGTGAAACCCAAACAATAATGTAATTGTCAAAAAAAACAAAAATGATACAAAAAATAGTAACCATGGTCCAAAATCGGTCACTTGTACAAAGTGTCCTCTTGTTAATGTCATAATATTTAACATTTAAAAAATCCATAACCAACTTAACGGTTATATTACATATGAATAAACTGTACAACATTCATCAATGAAGACGAACAAATAATCAAATACAATATCTACATTTTTATTCCTAGATGAGGATGTTAACTCGTGATTCAATAACCATGACTTGTCGATGAAGATTTTGAGGATGAAGTACCCATCCGCATACATATTCTTCTCGAAATTTCCGAACTTGCTCTCGTACAATATGAAGAATGTCATAATAAATTATATTCATAGTAATAAAAAATAAAACAATAATAGAATGACTTTAATGTTTACCGATGTGTAATGAGGCATGCTTTTCCCATTCACTTTGCTCACACCATCCCACAACTCCATATATTTTAAAACAAACAATCCACAATCATACCTGCACAATTGAATGTAGTTATTACACACATTACATACAATATTTTGCAAAAACAATTTCTACTATAACAACATACTAACATGTTTGGTTGAATTGGCAAGTCCTCCTTTGTAACCTTAAGTTTTCCAATGGTACTCGATGACTTTGTTTCCAACAGCGACAATAGATGCTCAAAACATTGCAACTGTTCACAATATTACATTATTCGCCAAATAAACATTAGCTCTGAATTAACTATATTACTTACGTAAACAACAACTTAAAACAAATTTTTATCATAGCTCTATCAATTGGTTTTCGTGATCTATTATCATGCCCCAATGAATTTAATATAAACAGTTCTCCATCCTTACATTTCAGCACATAACACCACCAATGACCATTGTGTACAGTGGGAGCAAAAATCTGAAATAGAAAAACTCTGCTTAATTGAATTTTATCTTGACAAAAATATAAATTTAGGCAAAGTATAAATACTCACAAATTCACAACTCAATAACTACTGCAACGGAATAATTGTATTTGGATAGAAAAGTGAGAAGTCTTTCATTGTCCACGTCGATACTTTCCCTTTGCGAATATACATTTTTTCAATCACTTGTGTCTATCAAAAGGCACAAAAATAAATGACAATCAATGATAATATACCTATGTGCAACTTAACTTTTTAAATGCACAATAAACATACCGCAAACAAAGGATTGAAACAAAAACGTCGAATGCTGCCACCAATGACATTCATTTGGTCATACATCATTACACTACTGCAAACAACATCACCTAACAACCCATATGATATTAATAAATATAATTTTTAAAAATATATTCAATCACACTTTCATTAAATACAGAAACTTACCATATTGTCAATATGACCCCTTGGCTTTAATGTCTGCAAGTTCTGCATAGTCAATATCTGCCCATGCACTTCCACTACAACACTGAAATACAATAATGGATTACATTGCATTTTATACTAATTAAATTGAATGAATGTAATAAATTTGATTATATACTAACTGGTTTGGATTATCAAGGTTGGTGGTGCAAAACTTATACAATTGATACATGTCATCATCCCCACCAATCCCCTTCGCCGTTATCGATGACTTATTCATGTGAATCCCAATTTGTTCTTTCAAAATTTTAACCTCATGTTCAAGTTGAATGATCCTTTTTTGATTTTCTTTTCTGTTTTAGATCTCCATATGCGCTGGTCAGATAAAAGTTGTTGCAAGTCACATGACGCACCACTGGAGGAAGGTATGTCCACATTCCCATTTTGTGAATGCGTCAAAGCTTCTTGCACAACTTTCATTGTCTGATCATCCACAGACAGTGCCCAATCTCATACAATCTAACAAAAGGAAAACTTTATATGTTAGGAACATAATATAATAAGTCCACATTTTTAAGGAAAATTTATATATGTTCTACGCAAAATTTCTTACATTGTTTGAGATGAATGCACGTTCTATTTTGGACCTTTGAATGTTCACTTTAGGCCATTCAACAAAACGTGGAAAACAAATCTTTCATGGTGGATCAGTAGGCAAACACATGTGCTCCATTGCCCAGATCTATTACACAATACAATGTCATCAGTCACAATAATTTCATACCAACTAATAAATCAATCAT